GCATCAGCCTCAAAGGCAGCCCCACGTAGAGCGCGTTACAGTGGTCTAATCTTGAGATTACGAGCGCATGTACCAAGGTGGTGAGCGCCCCCGAGTCAAGGTAGGGTTGCAGCCGGGCAATCTGCCAGAGATATGCATTTTAAAAAAATAGAGAAAAAACTTAATAGTTTACAAATATGGTAAGAACATACAAGACAGCCAGTGTCATGTAACACAGCTGTCAAGCATGCAATTTTGTGTCCAACTGTATGGGTGGATGATTATGGGACAGAAAAAGTTACTCTCCAAAAATGTAATTGTTTGAAGCTCTGGTTGGATTGCCTTTGGGCTTTTAAGATGGTAAGTACTATAACTGGGGAAGGTCCCACCTCATCTCTGGGCCCATGTTGTTGTTTAGTTGCTAAGTCCTGTCCGACTCTCCATGACCCCATGGACCAGAACACGTGTCTTCCACTGCTCTTTGATGACACTGTCCAGCCATCTGCGTCCTCTTCTCCTCTTGCCTTCACACTTTCCCAGCATCAGGGTCTTTTCCGGGCCGTCTTTTCTTCTCATGAAATGGCCAAAGTATTGGAGCCTTAGTTTCAGGATCTGTCCTTCCAGTGAGCACTCAGGGTTGATTTCCTTCAGAATAGACCCTTATGTCACTCTAAAAAGGCTATTTAGTCTAGTACTCTGTTCCCAGAGGGGCCAACTAGATGCCACTGTGAAGACAATAAGCAGCAAACAAAGCAATAGCACTCGCTCAGCCTTACAAATTGCCCTATCAGGGAAAGGATGGGATCCAGTGACCAATGTGTCACCTCAGCAGGTGGGATTGTGTCAAGTCTATAAGACCCTTCCTCCAGATAGGATGTTGCCCTCTAGAGATGCCTCACCTGCCTCTCCTGGCAGGATGGGATCTGTACTCCAGGACACTATGGGGTTTAATGAGTAAGGAAGCTGATCTAAGACCTATTTTGTTCCACCTACAAGTTGGGGAAGAAAAAAGAGATTGTACCTCTTTGCTCAAAGCAGGTGTTTCTGTGGCCCTTTACAGACTTTGGGAAAGGGTCCCTTCCAGCTGTGCAGTTCTAAGATGATGATCATCATCTTATCATGGTGTAGTGCAGAGGTCCCCAAACTTTTTGGGACTGTGGACCGGCAGAGCCTCTGAGGAAAGCGAGGCACCCTTGCGCTCTCATGCACAAGCTCTCCGGTGCAAGCACGAAGTGGTGGGGGAGTGTGCATGTGTGTGCCAGCATCGGAGTGAGCGCTCTCCAACTCCTTTGCACATGCACAGGAGTGCCTGAATGTCTTCGCACCCGCCCGCCCACCCCTTCATGCAGGTGCTCCGGCACGCTGCTGGCTCTTACTTACCATGAGAGAAATGGCTCCTTCCTTCACCCTGTGCTAGGAATGCTCCTAGGAGCTGCGAACACTATGAGTTAAATTCTGGAGCAGATTATAAAATGGTCACTCTGCGAGCACCTTGAAAACAATACAGTGATAACTGGAAGCCAACACAAATTTGTCAAGAACAAATCCTAATCTTTTCACAGTTTTTGATCTGGTAACCGCCCTGGTAGATGGTGGGAATGCTGTAGATTTCATATATCTTGACTTCAGTAAAGCTTTTCACCAAGTGCACCATGATATTCTGATTAGAAAGCTAACTAGTTGTGGGCTGGACAGCACAACCATCAGGTGGATCCACAGTGGGTTACATAATTGTACTCAGAAAGCACTTATCAATGACTCCTTCTCAAACTCGGAGTAGGTAACTGGGGGGGGGTACAACAAGGTTCAGTCCTTCGGCCGATGGTCTTCGACATTTTCATTAATGTCTTGGATGAGGAGGTGCAGGGAATGTTTATCAGATTTGCAGGAGACAGAAAATTGGGTGGAATAGCTCATACCAGAGAAGGGAATATTCAAAAAGACCCTGAAATGCTCAAGAATTGGGTTCAAAGCCACAAAATTAAATTTAACCAGGATAAGTTAACAAAGTTAAACCCCCTTGAGGGGGAAAACAAATGCACAGTTATAAAATGGGTTATACATTGATACTATATGCAAGAAAGACATTGGAGTTGAAAACCTTTCTGCTTTCTTAGAACATGATAGAAAAATCTGACCAATCCCAATCAAACGGACTGAACTGGGCTCATAAAAAAAAATCACAGGTTTAGCTTCCAAGTACATTTTAAAAAGAAAAACAATTTTTAAAAAATCAAGCTTTCAACAAGGAAAACACGTCCTGTTATGTTCAGGATTACAGACATTATACTAACTATATTGCATATGGTGATATACACTCAATGCAATTATGTCACAAAACATTCCAGGTGTACTGATTACTTCATCAATTTTCTGCTCTTTTAATGAGATCAATTTATAGAAGCCATGAGTCTCTAAGTCTTTGTCCTTCTTCACGGTTCAGAACACCATCTCCCAAGACTCCCTGATCTGTCTCAGCTTCTAAGATTGTGACTGAAACAGCTTTTTTTATTTAATTAAAGCAGATGCAATGCCCAGTTTCCCAGCCATGTTTTGCTAAAGCAGACTTTTCTTCCTGACCCAATCTAAGGTAGCGTCGATGTTCTTTGCATCGGATTTCAGTGCTTCTCCCTGTCTGTCCTATATGTATGTCAATCCACATGAATGTGGAATCTGATAAACACCGGGAACCCCCAAACCCAAAGAATCTCTGACAGAGAAGGAAGTTGTAAGTAGCAAAAGAGAGGCGACACATGGCCCATGGACCTCAAGCTGCCTGTTTTGAGGTTCCTGCTGCTGACAAAAAATGGAAAACAAAATCACTCCAAGAATGGGAGAGGGAAAATGGTCTGTTTCCAAGGGAAGGAGACACCCGGACCTGCTCATGATGCAGAAAGCATCTCTTCTACACCACAGAGATGCATTGCAGTTGCTTTGGAAGTTTGGGCTCCAACCTAGATGTTTCTCACTTTTGCTGTATTGTGAGGCTGGTTGTGTAATTTTCAAGTAACTTTTTCTGCTCAACTTACTTCCTGTAGATACCCTGATGATAAACTCAAAAGCATCTCCACCACAGAGATGCATTGCAGTTGCTTTGGAAGTTTGGGCTCCAACCTAGATGTTTCTCACTTTTGTTGCATTGTGAGGCTGGTTGTGTAATTTTCAAGTAACTTTTTCTTTTCTGCTCACTTCCTGTAGATACCCTGATGATAAACTCATGAGAACCCATGCTACGGTTCTTATGTGTTTATCACCGGGGTATCCATGCTCAGTATGAAAATGGTGCTGCTGACAGAGGCAGACAGAGAGCTTCACGGTCCACCAAAGGCTTGCTCTAAGAGAGAGTTAAGCAATCTGACATTCTCCAGCTGTTTTGAACTACCCGTTCTGTCATCCGTAGCCAGCAGGACGAATGGCTAGAGCTTACACCTGAAAAGCAAGGAATTGGCAAGTCACATTTCATACAGTAATTCATTTGCTGTAACTCCTCTGGGTTAATTTCCTTTCCAGCTACCATGATGCTCCACGTACTTTCATGCCTGATTCTTTTCTTTCTGGCAAGTCTCACTTACGCCTCTGAAGAAGATACTGTGGTGGTCACTAACAGTGGCCCTATCCGGGGCAAGCGCCTTACCACAGCTTCTGGCATGGTGACAGCATTCTTGGGAATCCCCTACGCCGAACCTCCATTGGGGACCCTGCGTTTCAAAAAGCCCCTTCCCCATGAGCCCTGGAGCCACATCCTGGAGGCCACCAATTATGGCAATTCCTGCTACCAGGAGAGTACAGAACGTTTCAGCTATCCTGCAGAAGTGAACTCAGAAGCCACTTTGCAACTCTCCGAGGACTGCTTGTTCCTCAACCTCTGGGTGCCTCATCCACGACCCATGACCCCAATCCCAGTTTTTGTCTGGATCCATGGAGGTGGTTTTGTCCAAGGTTCTGGATCCCTGGATAGAAGCATCTTAGCTGCCAC